GTTCAGTGTATGGCTGACATTTCTGAAGGTAGCAATAGCTTATGTTTCTTCTTAAGAGAATGATGACACCACTACCCACAGATTCATCATAGTGGATTAGAGGACACCAGGGAATAGCAGTATTGATGGTAAAGCTCTAGTTTTCAGCCCACTGCTTTTACAGATGTACACCGTTTAAGATGTACCAGCAGCTTCATCCCATGAATGAGAACAAACAAATGCCCACTAAGCAGTTTAGCTATAATCACCCTCATTTCTGAAATACTGCAGCTCACTGTCTTGCCAAACCATGACTGTATCAAAGACAAGACTGTACTCTTCTCATCGTGCCTTTTCCAACAGCAATAATCTTGTCTGCATCATTCGATTTATTTTAAGCTTTTCTTAAACTACTTTTATGAAACATGTTATACAGAAGACTGAGTTGAGTCTTCCAAGATTATTTAAGACCTTTTGTATACAGACATCCTCACATGTCACAATTTCAGGCAGAAAGGGCATGCCTTCTGAATCACACTGTTAAATCAGTACTACACTTGTAAGCTCAGGGGCAGCCTTTTCACCTGATTCATTTGGAGCTCTGGAGGTTGGGAGAAGCATGTATATATCCCAGGACCACTGTATGTGACTGAAGACAAAAAGCCCCTGGCCTTGATGGTTCTTTAACATAAGAAAAGTCCTATTGAATCAGGACAATGGTCCATCTGGACCATGCAAATTCAGCTGTCAGTATATGAAGAATGAAAGAAAAAAGCAATAAAGAATACCTATTTTAATGAAAATGGAACTTCTGTTTAAATGCAATGACTAAAAATGTGCAACGGTATAAATTTTACAAAATCAAGACTTGCTGCAAAGAAAATTTTTTTGCTGAATAAAAGATTAATACATAACAAAGAAAGAGTGGATAGAATTTTGGGTTTAAGGATACAAAGATTTTTTTTCTTTTTTACTCACCCATTTAAACCAACGGATCTAATAAATGTGTATTTCAAGGACCCAGGAAGGTAGTTAAGCATGTACATAAATGCTTAATTTGGACAGTTCCATAATAGAAGATACTATCAATTTTCTACCATCTCTGTTAATGTCACTGCTCTCAAGAGAGATTTTCGAAAGTTTTCAAAGATACTACCACCACAGTCAGTAACTAGATAATATCTATTGGAGTTTCTAACTGAAAAACCAATTGTTCACCAGTTGATGCCTTCCCTGTCCTAAAGGTATGAAGATAAAACCCTCAATATGAGCAACAAGAGTAAACATGACATGTGAAAAAAGCTTCTAAGAAAAGATGAAATCAATATAATATAGGAAAACATACAAAAGGAAAGCACATTAAAACTACAGCAGTAATAAAAAAAGTTGCATCAGCTGTTGAGCTACAAAATATACTGTCAAAGCATATCGGATGTGACTAGTGACATGAAGTGGGGGAAAACAGTAACACAGAAGTCACAGAGTGGTACTGGATGAAGAAACAGGGTTTAAGAGAGCTATGTGAATAAATTACCGAGACAAAATGCCACAATAGGAATAACTTACATTTTTTAAAAAAAGAGAGACTATAAGTGTGACCCAAACAATTTACGCAAAAGTTCTTTGCTTTCTGGGTTTTATAAGATTAAGTGCTGATGTTTTCAATGAGGAGACAATGATGTATTTTCTAATCATATTAATGCAAGCTAAAACCAGGGACTTCTATATATGTGTAACCTTGACATACAATATTTCTAATCTTTTAAATCCTCAATATCTGGAATTGAATTTTCCCAATGCTTATGTCAGAAACTGGCAAATATCCCAATAAAATGGTGTGTTTTCCTTATTCATGCCTAATTCATGAGTGATAGATTAACAAAAATAGCTATAAATCAACTGTTGAGTTCAACATGATTCAGTGTGACATTTAAACAGCCATGGAAAGACTTGTTAGATCACAAGAACTAGAAACAACAAGCATGTGCTTTGTTTTCTTCTCCACAGCTGCTTTAGGACATGATTATGATTATGCTAAACTAATGCGAGACTGTGGCTGATCCTTCCTCCCACCTTTTGCCCCAGTATATTTCTGTCTTATTCCTCATGCCTAAGCCAGCACTGTCAGTGGACAGTGTCTGTGCTATGGCTGACTGTGCAATCAGTCAATGAATATCAACAGTGACAGAAGAAAAACAAAGAGTGACCGAGGGCAGGCATAGTCTGTCTGAAAGCAGCTCAGATCAGCAAAAGCCAATTGTGAAATTACACCCTAGCTGTATGGTGTTAGGCAAATCCCTTTATCCATAAATGAAATCAGAAAATAAAATACTAGGTAAAATGGGATTAGAGGCAGACCACAGGTGTATCAATGAATGTGGATTTAACATGATAGGCATGCTAACCAGCCTTCTTTCAGACTATATGTAGGAGGTTTTGAGCTTCTTTATGGAAAAAAATTACATGGAGTCAATGGAAACTACATCCAAGGCAATAAATTGCAAGTCTTAAGAAAATAAAGTTATATGGTCAGATGGTCATTACTTGAGACTGCCTGCAAATGCAACCTTTAAAAGGATTTCTTAATTGAGTTATGTGTGCATTAAAGTAAGAGGAAAGCCTCCCGAAGAGGAAAAACATCCCAAACATGGCTCTGAGAGGGAGCAGAGTGCTTACACTCCCACAGCACAGCAGAAGTTGTAAAGGGAGACTGGATTTCAAAGCAAGAAAATGCCTTCTGCTGTTTGGTCCTAGTGTATCCAGGAAGAAAAAAATTATTGTGTATATTCCTCATAATTAAGGAAGATGCCATATAAACCCCCGCCATCTGAATCACCAGTTTCTCCTCCAAATAGAAACAACCTGTCAGTGCTTTGAATCCGGCCTTTTCATTAAATAAAACACAGATTGAATCTATTAAGTGTCTTGGTACACCAAAGAAAAGTATCACAACATAGGTTCAAGAATACGTCGGCCAAAGGCTTGTATCTTTACATTCACTGTATATTTAACAATTTCAGTAAGAATTCGGTTGTTATATTTAGGTATTTAGAGTGCAAATTATTTACTTTGTCATGCAGAGTATTAATATTGATTGCTTAAGCCCTCCAGACCTTGCCAATCAGCAAGCTCACTGATGTATTGAAGCGATTAGCTTTAAAAGCAATACTCACTGTGAAGACTTTCTCAGGCTGACCACGAGCTCGCATGTTTGTGTCATGAATTTGCTTGAGTATCATCCAAGCTTCATCGTGTTTTCCGACCTAAATGTACATTTAAACAAAACACATACAGATTAAGATATTCACTATTATCACTGGACAATCTTAATGCCTGTTATACAGAGGTCATGATGTAAACACAGAGATAATTTTGACAGGACTCTAAAACTAGTTGGAAAGTTACATATACCTCTAGCAAGAACCGCGGGCTTTCTGGCATAAAGGTGAGGGCTACCACGGAAGAGACACAAGGCAGTGCACAGACGATCACAAATACTCGCCAGCTGTGGAACTGGTAGGCAGAGCCCATGCTGAAACTCCATCCTATGAAATAAAAAATTCACAGCATGTAGAGAAATAAGGAGTATTGTACATGAAAGTCTTCAGCTTCTTGGAGATGCAAAATGATACTTTTATTTAAATGAAGCCTGATTGGTCTCTCTCTTCTATTTCCACAGATATTGATGATTTCACAAACAATTTTACACAATGAGTTTTATGCTCTTTCATGTGATTAGTCAGGCTGGAAATCTGCCATATTATTTAGGGTGAGAGATTTCCTTTAACAGGGATGAAGAAAGCTCATTCACGTCTCTTATCAAAATCTGCATGAAAGTAGTTATAGAAACCAAACAGGGACACCACCACCATAGGTAAGAATACATACACAGAGAAATAGTTTTCTAAGAATACTGGAAGAAGGAAGAATTAAAGAGATACACTCAGATGATATGTTTTATGGAATTTTGCAACCTTCCTTAGGAACTTTTTCTACAAAGACTTAATTTCACCACTTCTAGTAAAAGTCTCTTAACATGATACAGTGCAACACACAAAGCATTCACAGTGCCTAACTTCTGTTTCCATCTTGTTCCAGAGCACTATACCACTCCTTAAATTCTGTTAGAAGTAAACTGACAGTTGACCCCCCTGCCCCATAACTAGTTATACAGGAAAAAATACTCAGTATTTAAGCTTTTATCTGAGATGAGCAACCTTAATATTGAACTAGAGCGAAAATTTATGATTATATAAAAGAGATTAAGAAAAAAGAACAAGAAAACACCTCTCATCTGAAAAACTGGTTTTGAGATACATGTAACTAATAACATGCTATAGAAGTCATTGTTAAAATATACTGAGAAGAACACAAAAGGTAATACTGGAAAACTTGTATGTGAAATTGCAGTGCTGGTAGTTCAGCTTTTTAATAAAATATCTGATTGTTCCATATGTTATGACTGGAATTGACCACGGAAATGGTGTAACTGTAAGAAACGTAAGAATTTCTCTGAAGAAAGAGAAAAATATCATTTGTGTAATTATCTGGCCTTTTAGTCTGGCTTCAATACAGCAGTAATTTTCAAGTAAAATTTTGAAAGGATAACATATTAAAAGATGAGTGGAAGATAAGAACGATAAAGGACGGATGAAGTTATTGGAATAAAATGGAATCCTGGCTGATGAAAGAGCTGATACCAGATTGATCTGATACATTTCTTTGCTAACTGATTGTTTTAGACAAAGACATGGTTAATTAAATCTGTCTGTGTGTCCATAAACAGCTACTACAACATGGTACCAAATGGCCACAGGGAAGGCAGCACAGGAAAGTGGGTTTCATCTTTCAGGATAGTGCAGTCCAGGTACTGGCTCTTGTCATAAGAAACTATCCCAGAAATACACAGAGCCAGTGGTATACTTAGACAATCTGCCTTTCACTGCTCTGGTTTATGTTTTATGAGTTTGAGCTGCAGAAAAAGCATTTCTGTGGTAAATGTAATCAGCCTGGCTTTATACCTATTATAAAAACTAACAGTAACATCTTGTACTCCATAGCCGGTCCTGGAAAATGATAATTTATTTTAAGGTGTCATTTATTAATGTAAGTGAACCATACCACACTTAATTAAAGGCAATGAGTGCACCATTCATCCTGCTGTCATCCTGACAACCTACAAAACATCTTTTTTGCTCCTCAAAATATCTGAGGGGCATGTCAAGTGAAATGTTTATTATGTTTTTTATTGCTTTTATTCTGTCTTTTTCTCTATTTATTGTATTAGCTGCTGCAGTTTATCAACATATTTGCTGAGTTAATTATAATAGTAAATGTCAGGATTATAAGAAGCAATTGGTTGAAAAAAGCCAGCTGCAACACAGCTTTCTTGAGGCTGCTCTCCTGTCTATTCCAGCACCACCAACACTGGATCAGCAAAATGAACATGTATTTTAAATGCAGAGCAAGTTTAGATTTATTCTTTTTTAACACATCCCATTTTCCTAGGTTGTGAGCTAATCTGGAAAATGGGGCCATTAGAGCAGCTCTGAATCTAGCTCACAAAGTGGCTTTCATTCCTATTAAACATAGGTCTTGAAACAAAATGAAAGTCTGTTCTTGGCTGTAACTCAATTTTCTTCTTGCTTCCATGATTTATGACACAACAGCAAAGACAGAGCAGCTCTACACGGTTCCATCCAGAGCACCGCACAGCAACCCAGAGCTAAACTTCACCCTTGCTCCCTGGCTATCCCATATTTGAGAGTCATTAATCTTGAAAACAGTGGCAAGTAGCAATGTTTCATGAATTGCAAAACACTTGGCCCAAATGCGTCTTGGAAATGATGTGCTGTAGAGCAACGTAAAACCTGCAGTGACTAAATGTGAAGATGCTGCAGCAACCTTTGTGCTGAATAGCACCCTCCCACTCTACTGATGACTAAAAAGGCCAAGTGAATCACAGACATGGCAATTACTGATTACAGAAATACAGCACCACGTAGCAGAGCAAAACCAAAATGTACAAGATGCTAATCTATATCTAATAATATGTTGAATTCAATGTCAACAAAATCTTCCCTCCCAACACAGCATTTCATCTACTCCATAATGTTAATAAATTAAAAGGCTGTTATAAACGTCTTGCTCCAAAGGAGAGAAAAGAACATTTATGTCAGTGACTTTCTGAATAAACATAGAGGTAAACCTGTCCATATTATGCTGAATTTTGTAAATTTATATTACCTGATAAGCAACAGCATTTTCAAATACAAGGATCATCTTTTACAGTGGGTAGGTTACCAGAGAGCAGACTCATGGGGAAGATCTGCTTAACTTTTCAAAATGAGGGCTGAAAGGGAACACAATAGGTCTCTATAAACCCATAAGGGTTACACTAAGGTGCAATGCGGGCAATGAAAATATGGGTGCCTACAGCTGTGAAACACTCTTCTAAGAGACCAATATGGGTAAAGAAAGCCAAACAGAATAGAGGGATTTTACAACATAGTTAGCCGAAGACTGACTGTTCTTGATAAAAATTTTTGTTAGTCAGGCAGAAAGAATCAGAGGGACAAGATTCATGGCAGTGTCAGAAATTGACAAAATACAAGTTTGCATAAAATTCTGTCTTTTGGTAGATCAAAGGAGGGAGCAGATGGAAGAATACCCCTAAAATTAGGGGTGGAGGGATAGCTAAGGAATTTGTATAAATTCATAGACTCGACAGATTAATCTGCAGATTACTTTCTGTAATTTTACAATTTTTCTTATTTCTGTTTCACCACACAGTCTTTGGTCAAAACTCGTCTTTCTAGCCTCAATTTTTAATGTTTTAAATTTGAAATATTTCCAGTAACTAACATGTGTGATTGCTCTAAATTGCCACCTGGTGGCACTGTTACCGCACTTAATATAAATAATTAAAAAAAATTATCTGCAGAAATATTTCTACTATTAAATATTGTTGGTTTCTTGAGCATTTCACAAACCTAAGCTAAAACTATGACTGGAAATATTTTGCAGCTGGCGGCATTGAAATACAAGATTATTGTACTGATATTTGTCTGTCCTGGCATTACCAAGTTTGACTGTGAGTGACATCTAGGATTTCAGCACAGGTATTTTAGTGGTATTGATTAGAATAATGGGAAAGCTGAAATTGGAAAAAAACAAAAGTTCAGTTAAGTTATCTAGCTGAGGAAGTTAGACAGACATTTTTGCAAGACTGAGTGAAATACACAGTTTCTGACAAATGCAGAAATAATGTTTTCAGAATTATTCTGTAATGGTATTGATGTGAAATTCCAGTAGAATGCATGTCTTTCCTGTGATTATATTGTTAATATCACATCGGAAAGACAGTGGTATTTTTAGCCTATATAGATAGTTAGGTAGTCCACAAACCCACTGGCTCAGCAGGTCAGCTGCTGGTAACTTTTGCAGAAGGAATCTGGTAATAAAAAAGCTGAGGTATGGCAGGCCATCATGTGGCAACTTAACAAAGGTGCCTGTAGAAGACTCTTTAGATATCATCTGCATTTGCCTGTCTCTTCAGCTGATGTTAATAACCCCTGGGAGCCATGAGGATCAACAGTTCAATGAAAGAAGAAAGTAATAGTGTTAAACAGATATATTTTACAAATACATTACACTCAGACGTGGTCTGCTGACACTTAAAACTGTGATTAAAAGGGACAAGGCATTTTCTAAAGACACATTTCCATTCCCTCAGAGGTGGTAGCTGTCAGCCACTGACACTCATCACTTCCCTGTGCCATCACTGATCTTTATCTGAAGACCTGAGATGATCAGGTCTCCAGTCACGTGGGTAATATTATCTGCTGTTCAGACAAGCCCCAGGAGAGCTGCAAGCAGGGCTGACCTTATATATAAAATAATTTGCTCCGTAATACCATCAGACATAATTCCTCTACCCAGTGCACGTCACTGCAGTGCAGGTGATGTCTCCAGCTGTACTACCTCTGAACAGTGATATCAATAATTCACTTTTAACATGTTTCTAATACATGCTGTAGTACTGCCCAGTTTTACTTTTCATTGTGGAGGAAGATTGTGTATCCTCATAGTTCAGACAATAATAAGGTATTATATGTCCTCAAAATTCATGGTTTATTAATGATAAGTCAGCCTTTCATTTAACTTTTCATATACTCTGTGCAGATTACAGAGGTGTTAGGTTTGTTTCCTTGCTATTGAATTGCTAACATATCTGTGACAGACCTCATAGGAAAAAAAGAAAACAAAACAAAACAAAACTAACCTAACATAAAAAAAATAGTTGCAAATCATAATAGCTGGCAATGCTCAGGAGAAAAAAAAAGTAATAAAAGATAAGGCAAGCTTGTAAGTCATTGTATGCACAGACTGAAATGGTCTGTCTGAAATCTGACTTCCATTTGGCGCTAGAGTGTGACTGTAGCCAGATAGTGCCACTCATAGTAGCCATTACAGGCAAGAAGCTGATCTTTAAAATGGCAGAAGAGATGCACAGGTGTCATTTTCTAGGAGAATTCAAGCACTA